CTCAGAGTAACATCACAAGCATCTTATTCACCTGAGTACATTGCACCAACACAGAAAATATCATTATTGCTAGATTACATTGATATCGAAGGAACTAGATTCTGTTCCGAAATTTCACATACTCGAACCGACCAGACCACGTAGCTCAGTTGGCAGAGCATTGGGCTAGCATCCAAAGGTCGTAGGTTCGATTCCCACCGTGGTCAGGCATATTTTTCAAGCTTGCCCGGTGTGGATATACACTCAGAGTAACATCACAAGCAAACCACCTATGATTAATTGGGGGAAGCGAGGCGATGGACGAACAATAGTTATACCGACTTCAGACATTACAGATGCATATGATGAAATTACAACTTGAAAAAAGAATGTTTTTCTAGTGCCATACGGGAAAATAGGAAGGGATTTTATCGATCAAATAACGATGCATATAAACGACTGGAATAGCGGTTCGGAAAATCAACATGTTTCCCTAAAAGCTGTTTTTGTACTTCTCGCCGTTGGGCTTCAAAAGCCAAACCCGAAGTCCAAGGCAAAGGACCATCAAGATGCCTTGTCAAAGCGACTTGCACTTTGGAAGGACGGTGAGATCAGTAAGCTAATACGTGAGGGACGAATCATACAAAGTCGTACTGGAAAATTTAAAGGATCAAACCACCCCGATAAAGCTAAAGTCTTTGCTAAGCTCGTGCTAGAAGGTCAAATCAACTCAGCCCTTCGTTTCCTGAGTGAAACCTCAAATGGCGGCGTGTTAACGTTAACTGACGACGTAATGACGCAATTAAAACAGAAGCATCCTGAGCCACAACCAGCAAAGCTCGGATCGGTATTATTTGGGCCGCTCAATGACGAGATACCCGAATCTATTTACTCACAGATCAATGGTGAGATGGTTAGACAAGCCGCTTTGAGAACAAAGGGATCCGGAGGCCCGTCTGGTGTCGATGCTAACGGCTTTAGAAGAATGTTGGCATGTAAGTCCTTTAAGCAATCATCTACAAGACTGTGCGAAGCTATAGCCAGAATGACCAAGA